TAAATTGCCCATAATGAAGATTCTGAAAACTCAGGACCAAAGACATATGAGTACATATTTAGAACTCGTTTTAGCATTGCACGATTGAAAGAGAGAGTTCTGCTTGCACCGAGTATTCTAGAAGATCATTTCACTCATTTATTGCATTGTTATTCATAGATTTAGTCGGTTCATGTTATTAAGGGCTGAAAGATTGACATCTTTACCAGCATTCTAGAAGATCATTTAGCTCATTTATTGCATTAGGTTTCATAGATTTAGTCTGCCTTTCAATTCATGTTATTAAGTGCTAAAAGATTGCATCTTTACCGTTTTTGTTTTAGTCACGACACTTGAGAGAAGTATTCGTCTGCCGGTGGAAGGATCCTTTATAGACTCTTGAATCCACATAGTGGCCAGAAAATAAATAGGCAAGTGAAATGTGGGACAATTAGAAGGAATTTCTATATTTGTAAATATGAACTACACTACATGCACACAACTTTTACAAATGAAAGAGCTCTAATGCGAAGTGAGATACTCCCTCAGAAAATTTTGTTTGCACGCTTTGCGTATCTATTTTGTGTTATTTACAAAAGTCATACTCATGCACTCTCCCACACACTTTATGACTTTTTGGTATAGATCTTCAGAATTGTGCTTGCCTAAGCAAAGCTAGCAACTAATTTCAGTAGGGGCATAAAAATATTAACTAAACAACAATAATACAAAAAAATAAATTGAAGAATATATTCGAAGTAAATGCCCAATGTTGTTCTTTTCGAACTTTATATCTTGTAACCTTTTTAAAATATATCTTTATGATAAAAATAAAAACTTTCATAAAAGATATATTATTTTCTGTTGACGGGGAGTTTTGAGATAACTATAGATGAAAATGGAGACGAGAAAGTAAATAGGAATGAGCCGTCAACAAACCAAGTGTTGTATTGATACGCTTGCGCCGGGGGTTTATTCGAGGATTTTGGTTGCTCTCGGACCTCTTTTTTACAGGGGCGTATTGAAGGCAACAGAAGATAATACTAACAATGTATTTTCCATGTCAGCTGAGTTTTTTGTGATGATTTCAAAATGAATATCAGATGTCCTTGCGTCTATTGGTATGAAGGAACCAATTTTAGCTGAAATCGGTATGAAGGAACCCTTATTCTCTGGTAATCGATATGAGGAGCTAACACTTCTACGCCATGGTGACGTTGGCCTGATGTGTTTACGTCTTGAAGCGTGATCATCATAGAGGTGAGATCGGCATGAGAGGTGGCGTCTTTATTCATTCAGACGTACCGAGCAAACGTACTTTTAATCTCTTGTGTTGGCGTGGTATACCGGGTGCTTCGGAATATCGTCAATGTAAACTTATCGTCCACGTCATCGTTGTTTAGTAAAATCCATCTCGATATATTTTGGTTAATGCAGTAATAAATTCTTCAGTCTATAATTTCATGTCACTTTATGGAGATTATGTTTTGGCCTTTCCTTCCAAAAAGTTTTCATCTTGACATTTTTTTCCCTATCAAAGTAATTAAGGAGAATCTATCCCTATATATTAATTAAAAACGTGTTAAGCCTAAGTGACAAACTCACACGTTTCGGATGCTAACATGACGAAAATTTATGCTTCGGAATGTCGTTTGTATATTCATTTCTTTGGAATTAGGCTTGATATAGATATAAATAATTTTTTTCAAAACTTTGTAAGTGTACATTTGATTTTGTTATTTTTTTTCTCTTAGTGCAAATTTCCTTCTTAGATTTGGCGAGTAGCAATCGAAGAATCTTACCATTTTATAATTTTTTTTCTCCTATTTCTTTTATAAATTAAGATTTACAAATCTATTCCTCTTTCTTTTTCATCAATTAGTCCATCAAATTTTTTAAATAAAATTTTTATTTTAGCAATAACTTTTATGATATATTTCTTTTAACTCAACACCCGTGTAGTGCATGTATATTGTACTAGTAGTTATATAATTAAAAAAAGGTAAACTCAATGAGCAAATCAAACGTTTTTTTATCCTAATTTAGTGAAAAAAACCAATCACATATTAACAAAAAATTACTAATATTCAAAACTAAGTTTGAATAAAAAAGATGATTTGTAAACTTTTTTTTTTTTTTTTTT